CCTCCAAGCCGACCTTTCCTCTGCCTCCTGGCGCCTCGAGCTCCGCCGCGCCTCTTCCGTATCCCGACGAAGAAGACCTCCGTCCTGGAAAACCGAGCAAGCCTACCATCACTGCCCCGAAGCGTTTTGGCTCCGACTACAATGATACTACCCCGCGCTTGAATGCCACCAGCCCAGTTGAGACCAAGAGCCCGACCCTCGCAGAGCGACGCGGCGCTGGCCCGAGGCCTCTGGGAGCTACGTCTCCGACAAGTCCTGGCGAGGAGGGCAACTTCTTCGCGAAGCCCTTGAACGCTCCTCAGCCCCAGCGCCCGGTTGCTTCTACGACGAACTACCCCTCTTACACCAAGAAGCCGTACTACCCTCCCCCCGGTGGCGCATCAAGCTCAACACCTCCTGCTCAGAGCTACGCTCCAAGGCCGCCTTCTCAGCCTCAGTCTCAGAGCTCTGAGCATCTCGATATGCCTGGCCAGAGCAACGTGAACAGGTTTGCTTCCACTGCCTCCACCTCTACCACACGCGCCAGCAGAGGTTCTCCGCCCCCGCCCGAGACCCCGATCGTCGAACCGGGAGTGATCCCTGGCGGTGGCATCGAGGCTCGATATGCTGCTTCTGGTATTTCGGGCACGGCGACTTTGACCGGCCTTCAGGCGCAACAAGTCCAAAACTCTGCTGCTTCTCAGAGATTGGCGCAGTACGGCGGAGCACCACCGCCCGCGCGACCATGGACACCTACCGAGAACCCAGAGAACCAGCCTCATGGACCTCCCACCGTGTACCAGGGTATGAACCAAGTGGCGAGCCCTACTCAGCCCACTTTCAGTCCTCCTCCTCAACAAGCGGTAAACGAGGGAGATCAGCCTGCCCTGCAGGTGAGCGTCTTGGAGCAGGACTTCGCGCGCATGAATGCGAACGACCCTCCCCCGGCTTACTCGAGTGTCAACCCCGGAGGCAACTCGTCCTACCCCGCCGAGAAGCAGCGTCCGGCTCAGCAAAGAGCAGACTCGCAACCGTCTGTGGCCACGTCCGTCGCACAGTCGCCCCCGAAGAAGCCCGCAACGGCTGGTCCCGCGGCTGCAGGGCTTGCGTCGCCCGCTCTCCAAGGCCATCCGGCTTTCGCCAATGATCCCCGACCAGAGCAGCAGAATGGATCTCCAGGACCGGCCCAACAGCCACAAGCACAAGCACAAGCACAACCTGCGGCCACTCCGGTTGCGCAAACTGCACAAGTTCCTGCCAACTTTCAAAACGCTGGGCCATCCTCACCCCCTCCGTTGCCCGAGGGCTGGATCGCTCATCTTGATCAAAACTCTGGCCAATACTACTACATCCATCTGGCCTCCCAGGCTACCCAGTGGGAGTTTCCAAAGGGGCCCAACCCGATCCAACATGAACAGGCGCCTCTGTCGCCTACTGCCTCGACTTACGGCAATCCCCTCGCATCCCCCATGTTTGGCAAGCAGAGCATGGCGTCCCCGATGTTCCCTCCTCATACCCCTGGCTATGCTGAGAGCATCATGAGTGTCGCCGTATCGCAGACTCCCACTACCGCCGGCTTTTCTGGCCCTCCTCCCAGTGCCGGTGTTGACATGTACAAGATTCAGCCAACGAACGGCGTCTACTTTGGGCCTTATCTGCGCTACTGCAATATGGACATGGAGAAGGGGACGTGGTTGGGCAGCATTATGATCGTGACCGAAGCACCGCAGCCTCCGACGATCCATCTTCACTTGAGCGCCGACCTCTCTCCCAACCCGCGACAGTTGGTGCCGCACAATATCTACACCCATCAGCGCTGGTCGTTTTACAAGTACGATATTGAATTGCCCATGAGTGAGAATGGCACCGAGAGATGGACTTATGCCGTGACATCCCACCTGGGATGCACAAGATATGAGTTTGTCGTTGCCGGTCGTCACGAGAACGGCTGGCGCTTCATCGCACACTCCAACAACGACTTTGCTGCATCGACATCTCAGAATGAGCGCTCCAAGCTTGGTGGTGTGGGCTTCATGTGGAAGGACGTGCTGCAAAAGAACGTCGATTGCGGAGGATTCCACGTTCAGCTCGGCTTGGGTGACCAGATCTACGGCGACAGGTTATGGAAGGAGGTGCCGCTTCTGAAGCAGTGGCTGGCCATGAGCGGCAGAGACAACAGGAAAAACGCACAGTGGACTGCGCGTCATGAGGAGGACGTTTCACATGCCTACTTCCACTACTACACGAGTCACTTTGACCAGCCGTACCTGAGAGAGGCGTTTGCCCAGATTCCTCACATTTTGCAGGTTGACGATCACGACATGTAAGTTTATTGGTCCTAATCGTTTCGTTCAGAACTGACCCGCGCAGCTTCGACGGCTTCGGTTCGTACCCCGAGTACATGCAGGGCTCGCAGATGTTCAAGAACGTTGGCCGCATAGCCATCGAGATGTACCTGCTTTTCCAGCACCACACGACCGTGGAGATTCTCCGCAACGTCAGCAATGACACGGACTTGTTCACAATCACCGGCCAGGGCTGGCACTTTGTGAAGTATCTCGGACCAGCTGTCGTTGTCGTTGGACCCGACTGCCGATCTGAGAGAAACCAGACCCGGGTCATGGCCGGCCCGACCTACCAAGGGCTTTTCCCCAAGGTCGCAACGCTACCTCCCAGCGTGCAGCACTGTATCTGGATGGTGTCGGTTCCTCTCGTCTACCCTCGTCTCGAGGCGGTTGAGAGCTTGGCCACTGCAGTCACTACCGGCAAGAAGGCGGTCAACATGTCATACAACTTGCTCGGCAAGGTTACCAGTTCGGTGGCCGGTGTTGTTGGTGGAAAGGAGGTCGTGGCACAGGGCTTCACGCAGGTTAAGAAGGCTGTCGGAAAGTCTGGTCTCATGGGCAATGTTCTCAACCAATTCGGAGAGATTGATCTTGCAGAGGTGTTGAAGGACATGTGGACTCACGAGTCGAAGGACCTGGAGAGGACGTACCTCATCAGGACCCTCCAGGGCATCGCACAGCAGAAGGGAATTCGGATGACATTCATGTCAGGAGGTAAGCTAAATCCCTGCCTCACTCGTCAGCCAGAGCTAACGCAATCCAGACGTCAACTGTGCGGGAGCAGGCTTAGTTCATGATCCCACTCATCCCAGCGACCACAAGACGATGTACCAAATCATCACGTCGCCCATTGTCGCTCAACCCGCCAGCAACTACATCTTGAAATTGCTCCACAACAACAAGAGCCTCTACGTGCCTCAGAACGGCCACAAGTCCAATCACGAGGTGTCAGACACCAAGGAGGACATGATGGAGATCTTCCACACCGACGCCAGCGGCTCAGCGCGCGAGCTCAAGAAGCTTATGGGCCGCAGAAACTACGTCGCCGTGGTCGCTTACGACCCGGAGGCCATCCCGGGTACTCAGTACGCAGCCAACCAGGCCAATGGCCAGGGTCTGACGAAGCTGAGCTTGGCCGTGGATTTCGTGGTCCAGGGCGACGGCGCTTTCACGGCGCCGACAAAGTATGGCCCGGTCATTGTGCCCCACCTAGGATAGAAGGGCGTGGATTTCGGAGGCTATTTTCTTGAATATTTTAATATTTTCACACCTTTCCAGGTGACTTCCAGAAACGATAAGGCATGAAGCGAGTGCTTGACGACCTGATGATATAAGCCTACATTTACTACCTATTCATATTCCCAATTTACAAAATCTGAACTTCAAACCATCCAGTGCAGGCTGCCCGGTGCGAAACTGTTTCATGGGGGGTTCGAATATCTATATCAATTTTCCTATGCCCATATGAACTGTTGCACATATGGGCCATGATTTTCAGAGTCCTGAGACCAACTAGCTTAACCTGAAATACATGGACAGAGAGTGGGTGGCCTCCGGGAATAGTCGGGTCTCGTCCCGCCCACCAACTCGCCCGTGGCGCATCCCATTCAGCGGTCCGGTCCGCCCCATAGCGGCGCTTACAAGCATAATCCTCCTCTCCAATAGCCAGCCCATCGAGCTCTATTTTTCACCCACCTTACACATCGACGCTTATTGATTAGACATCTTCATCATCGAATACACCGACTTTCAGAGGGGCGCATTGCCCTTTTCGAGACATTGACAGACGCAGATGTACTGACGAACAGGTCTGCTATCTTTAGGTACATTGCCTGAGCATGCACGTACGATTACCAACACTCAACGCCACCCTCAGGAACCAGGGGGGTTCTGCGGATAGGCAGACTTGACCGGCGGATGATCCGGTTTTTGGCATTCCAGTTAGGCAGAACCACCCCCTTGGGTCGAGCTGAGTCAATTTGATGGTCTTCGTGGTTGGCGAGGAGGTCTTCTGATGAAACATGCCGTCCAGAGGGGGAAAGCTCTCAAGCATGTTGGTGCATGTCTTGTGGCCATGCCCCCTCTTTCAACCCCGGCGAGTGCAGGGCGCTTATCACGGGTTCTCTCGACCAGAACGAAGGCCTCCGAGGGGGTCGGCTCCGCTCGCAAATATGTGTTGGTTGGTTTGGTTGAAGAAGTACTTCATCCCCTGGCGTCCACGACTGATGCGAAGTTGCACTGGGTTTGGGCCTCAACTATCACACACTACTATCTCACGAGTTCATGATTTTGCGATACCATTTTTGAGACGTTTTCATTCATTTTATAGAGTTTTGTTATCATTTGCATCACTGAGCTGTTGTCATACATTGCATCCGGAGTAAAGTAAGAATGGCAGACGCCAAGGAAACTAACAATGATCCGGTTTACCTTCTATCCCTCGATGGCGGCGGGGTTAGGGGAATATCCGAGCTTGTCATACTGCACGAGATAATGAAGAGACTGCAAAAAGTAGCTGGGCTCAAAGAATTGCCCAAGCCTAGGGACCATTTCCACTTGATAGGTGGTACAAGCACGGGAGGGTTGGTTGGAACCGTTCCAACAAGTGAACCAACACATGTTTTTCGCTAACAAAACACACCGCTTCGCAGACTCATCGCCATCCTCCTCGGCCGCATGGGGATGACGACCGAAGAAGCTATAAAAGGCTACGAAGACTTTGCAGAAACAGTGTTCAGAAAAAGCAACCGACGGCTCCTGGAACGCACATTCAAGGAAAAAACGCTCGAGAAGGTCATCCGGGACATTGTCGCCGCGAGGGCGCTGAAGACGACTGTCATGATTGACGAAACAAGAGACCGGAATAGCCTCGGCCACGCCTTTGTATGCTCCGTGCCGAGAAGCAACATGTTCGAGGCGTATCTGTTCCGCACTTACAGGGGCAAGTCCAACCACGCGCACAATGTCGAAATCTGGGAGGCTGCGCGGGCGACGTCCTCGGCTCCTGGCTTCTTCAACCCCATACACGTCAAGGTCGAGGCCGTGAAGGAGTACTACTACGACGGCGCGCTGGCCTACAACAATCCCGCCAAGCTCGTCCTCGACGAGGCCGACTCATACCTGGGCTCCGACCGGAAGCTGGGATTTCTCCTGAGCTTGGGCACGGGGCTCAAAATTACGGATAAGGCGTTCAAGGTCGAGGCTGATGCGGAAAAGGCGGTAGAGCACGCCCTTGAGTTGACAAAGAGGCCTGTTCGGACGCTCAGCGGGTCTCTGCTGTCCCGCGACAGCTTGTCTGTATATAAACACATCAAGACGTCGTTGACGGATCCCGAACGCACTCACCATGAACTCGACCAGTGGTTCCGCGCGATTCCTAACGCTTACTTTCGACTCAATCTGGACAAGGGCGCTGCAGATATCAAGCTGAACGAGTATAAAAAGATGAAGCTACTAAGGGAGGCGACGGAGAAGTATCTGAAGAAGGACGAGGTATCGGCTTCCATTGACAAAATCGTCAGCATGTTACACAAGAAAGAGGGCGTTGAGATGCCTCTAGAGGCTACTTGTGAGTTTGATGCCCCAGTGACATGATTGAAGTGCGTCATCCGCTAACAGACTCGAGGCCGTGCTACTTCATATGAAGCATTCCGGCACGCCATGGTCCAGGACGTCCGGCAAAGGACCATATCCAGCCCCCAGTTCACCGGGAGAGCCGCAATTCTCGACAAACTTGATAGACACTTTTGTGAACGGAAGCCTGGGTCGTCGCCTAGGAGGCTTCTCAGAATTTGGGGCATGGGCGGCGTCGGAAAGACGCAGATCGCCTTGAAGTTCAGAGACCTGCATGGCTCTCGGTGCGTGTGTCTAGGTGTAATCTCTGTATCAAGCTACTAACATGCTGACGCAGGTTCGACCATGTTTTCTGGATTAACGCGGCCACCACGGACTCCATCTACGAAAGTTTCCGAAAGGTGACAGCGCAGATCTACGGCGGGAACCCCAGCAGACCCAACATTACCGGCGTCCTCAACTGGTTGTCCCAAAACCGCCCAGAAGAGTGGCTTCTGGTCTTCGACAACAACGACTCTGACTCCGTCGACGTTAGCAAGTACATCCCAGAAGGGAACACTGGTAACATTCTCTTCACGAGTAGACGGAAGGACATCAAGCCTACGTTGGATCATAATCAGACGTATGCTGTTGATATTATGGACGAAAAGGACGCTGTGGCATTGTTGTTGCGGTCATCGAAGCTGGAAGACCAGCTACTGTACAATGATGATCAGCAGTACGTTGGCCAAATCGTTAAGGAACTCGGCTACCTACCGCTGGCCATCGACCAGGCCGGTTCTTACATCGACATGCAAGAGTGCACCTTCAAAGACTACGTGTTCGAGTTCCGAAGTGGGCGGAAGCAGCTGATGGAAGATGCGTCGATGGGCCGCGGCGCTTTCCACGATAACCCAGCCGTGTATGGAACTTTGGAGTTGTCTTATGCGGCATTGCAGAAGAAATCCAAGGAGGATAACCGCGAAGGACGAGCTGCTCTCAATGCACTCCGGATCCTCTGCATCTTTTGCTTCTACCACAACGAGAACCTCATGGAGCAGATACTTGAGCGGGCTGCCACCGACAAAAGGTTTGAAGCAGACTATCTAGGGGACGACGGCGGCGGTATTGCCCCACTGCCTTTGATCGGTCCTATGCAGGAAGGCGAATGGGATCCCGCGAACTTCAGGGACGGAATCCGCATCCTGAAGAGCTACTCTTTGATCAAGAAGTCTGCCATGAACGAAAAATGGCATTCCATGCATGTTCTCGTGCACTCCTGGGCTCGAGATCGCATGGATCCGGAGACATTCGTCTTTCAACGCAGAGCTGCGCGCTTGCTGCTTTTCTTCAGTGTTCGAAGACAAGACAAGCTCAGTGACGAGCTCTATGCTAGTCAGGTCCTGCCACACTTGCGAGCGTGTCTCGGACACAGGGGAGAAGAAGATCTCGAGTGGATGCGGCGGACGGAGCATGAGGGGAAGTTCGCGAGAGCCCTTGTTGAGCTAGGCCTTTGGCAGGACGCCACCGCACAGTGGGAAGCTATACTTGCCGACAGAGAACAGCACCTCGACCGCACAGAGTGGCCGGTCATTTCGGGCATGTGGGACTTGGCAAAAGCTTACCGGGACTGGGGCCGTCTGGAGAAGTCGGAGAAGGTCTTTGAAGAGATCATAACGCTTTTGCCACAATGTCCGCAGAAGAGGATGGCTGCCCTGAAGTTGTGGGACATCCACATCGACCTCAGCAAAGTCTATCTTCAACAGGCCAGGTATTTGGCGGCAAAGAATCTGTTGTTCTGGATTCTTGAGACTGTGGAGAGCTATGGCTGGACTTCGGGTAGCTTCCGCCGAACCGTCACGACGCTTGCGACGGCGCTGCGGTTGAATGGAGAAACGGAGGCAGCGCTCGGGGTCGAAAGCTTCATCCTCCATCGTTGTATCGACGACGCGAACATTGGCCCCGGCCACCGAATCACGATGGGTTGCATCAGCAACATTGCCGCCCTGCGCTGCGAGATGGGACTCTACGAGAAGGCGGACGAGATGTGGCGTGAGGTGCTCGACATTGACGAGGACCTGAGAGGAAAGGAACACCCCATTACATTGAATTCGAAACGCAATGTGGCGACGGGGTGCGCGAAGTTGGAGAAATTATGGGAGGCCGAAGATATACTCCGGGAAGTGTTGGTAGTCAGCGAGCGTGTTCTGGGGACAGACCATCTCGATACGCTGACGACGATGGACCAGCTTGCCGGTGTGCTTGTACAGCGAGGCAAAACAGAAGAAGCGGAGGAATTGTGGAGGTCCTGTCTCAGAGGGAGAAAGGTGTGGCTGGGAGAGCAGCATCCATTGACACAAAGGACGGAGAAAGCGCTTTCACGGGTTGCTGAGGGGACGATGGTGCTTGTGCAGGAAGACTTCCAAAACGACGGCTTCTTGTCTTATGGAGACAGCAACTATGTTTCCCAAGCTGAGCGCGATACCTATTTGTATTAGGCAACTCTCGCATCTATGATTGGATTACATATTCATTACAAAAAGCTTAAAACGATGTCCAATGTGATGTGATGTTGTCGGAAAAGAAGGCATTGAATAATCATGCATTTGGCGATTCAGCCGCAGAGACGATGGCATTCATCTATATGATATGGACACCGTGTGCAAACGTCTTATTTTACACTGTATGGATCACTGTGTTGCCTTTACTTCGGGAAAATCGTACTACTGATACTTAGAAACGTCATCAATTATCGTGAAATAGCGACATCAACAACGCCCAAGAGACGAAAGCACACGGACACAGACTGAAGTGATCCACTTCTAACATATCTGCATGCCTGAGAGCCTGTCACACCCATTCACCCGCCGTCCTGCCTCTACCACCACAAAATGCGCTCTTCCTCGGTTCTGAGGATGGCATCAGCCTCCATCCCCAAGGGCCTGGGGACTGCGCCGATGGCCCTGCTTCCTCCCATCCCACTCTACCGACGCCTGCTCCGCGCGCACCGGAAATATCTTCCTCAGGAAATGAGGGTGCTCGGCGACGAGTACATCAAGGCCGAGTTCCGCGCGCATCGCAATGTGGACAACCCGGCGCATTTGGTACGTATTTTCTTGTTCACCCATGTTATTTACTCACCTTCTACTCAATCGTCCTGTCATGAAACAAGTTTCTCGAGTATTGCTCAAATTCAAGGCTGCTGCCTTTTCTTTCTCGTTAACATCCCGCCTGCGGAAACAATCATGTCTGCTGGAGTGGCGGCAATGAGAATGTTGTAATACAGTGCATGTAATTGGATAACCACTAGTCCGGGATTGTCTGCCGGGGGAGCAGCGCGGACGATGACTTCGTTGAAAACTGGGTAAATACTGACGAACTTTTCCGCAGATCGGCTTCCTGACTGAGTGGCAACTGTACGCGCAAAAGGTGGAAGGTGACCAGTGGAAGGGCGACAAGATCGACCCCGTCAAGGTTGCGAAAATGAGTGGTAGGTCGTTCAGATTGATCGCGGGCGTGGGAGAAAATTGACATTTCACCGGCAGACGAACAGATTGCTCAGCTGTATGAGTTGATGCAGGCGATTAAGGATCGGAGCAAGCAGGGCGACGGAGAAGAGGAGCAGTCATAAAAAGCTGCCGTAGTTGCTCTTCTGGTGGCGGGCGCAGTTTGTATCATCACATGTAGAATCATGCATAGAACAAACCCATTTCGATGTCTTTATGTGAGTCTACGTGTTTTAACATATCCCGTCTTTCTAGATTATAACTGTATATGTCTCTAGGTATTTACACATACGTCTCTAACTCATGCAGTCCCCCCTAGGGCCTCCACTATCCAGTTGGCCTGAATGACACTAACCTTCTTGGCATAGTTCTTTTGAGTAAAGACATGTTCCAGGAACATGATTGCCTCCCTCTTCTGTCCATGCAAGACGCTCGACGGGTGAATCGCAACGACGTGCTTGCCCTGAGATGTCACGTAGCTTGCGTCTGGCGCCAAAACGGCCGTTTTGGAAACGAAGCCGCGAAGGAAGCACTTGAGCAGAGCCTCGGCCTGTTCCGGGGCCAGAGGGCTGAAAGGCTGCGGATCCGGTGGCGGTGCCTCTGAGAGAAGTCCCTCTTTCAGACACAGGCTTCGGAGCTGCTTCCGAATGTTTAAGGCTGTCTTCATGTTGCGGATATTCACCTTCCTCTTCTTGCACCATTCAATGCGGTCGGCATTCTCAGCGGCGTACTGTTGCATTGTGGTGAGATAGGTGAGTATGTCACCCTCCCGACGGTATAGCTCCTTGCGAAGCTCCTCGATCTCCTCACGTTGCTCCTCGGATTGCAGTTGGTGGAAGATGTCATCGCCAGAGGTAATGCAGGAGATGACATCGATGGCCTCGAGAACGCAGTCAAACTCTGGCTTGGCGGATGCCAGAAGAACAGCGCCTAGAGGGGCGGAAACAGGGAAGCCAGCCATCCTCCGGCCTGCTTCGGTGATGGCACCATCATCGGCCAAGGCGCCAAGCAGATGGAGGCTGACGAGAGCCCGCTCGATGGCATCAATATCCGGGGTGTCCATCAGAGGGAACCCAAGGATGTCATCAATGCCTCTGGCCTTCATGGTCAGGACAGCTCCGAGAACGTCGATTCGCAGAATTTCTGGCAAGTCAGTCTCCTCGAGCGTGCCGAACGTGCCTTCGGTATACAGCCTGAAGCACTTTCCAGGACCCTCACGACCAGCACGACCTGTTCGCTGGATTGCGGATGACTTGGAAATCGGTTTGGCCAACAGAGACTCCATGCCGAGACGGGCGCGGAATTGCTTGACTTTGGCTTTGCCACCATCAACCACATAGCGAACTCCAGGAACTGTGACGGACGTTTCGGCGATGTTGGTAGCTAACACAATCTTTCTGGTCCTTCCCTTGACTGGCTTGAAAGCAGCATGTTGACCCTCCATGGAGAGCTGGCCGAAAAGAGGGAGCACCTTGACCTTGGGGATGTTGGAATCCAACGTTGCAGCATACTCCTCGATGAGCGACTGCATCGACTCGATCTCTTCTTGGCCGTTCAGGAACGCCAGTATGTCGCCAGGTAGTGGTTCTTCCGTGTGGAGCTTGAAGATTGTCTTCAATAAGGATTCTTGGATATCCGGCACTGGCTTGGGAGTATGAATCGTCTTGACCGGAAACTGACGGCCCTGGATCTTGAGAACCTCGACAGATGACTTGTGCTTCTCCTCGTCGATTTCCATGCTTTCGCTGTCCGCAGCTGGCTTTTCAGTCGCGAAGAAGCCCTGGATACGCTCGACATCGGCAGTAGCACTCATGACGACGACTTTCAGGGGGATACCCCCGCGCCCCTTCCGGTCGCTTGTGAGGATCTGCTTGAGAAATCCTGAGACGAGATCGACATCGACGCTTCTCTCGTGGATTTCGTCCACCACGACCGCGCTGTACTGTCGTAGACTAGGATCTCGAAGCAGCTCCTGCAGCAGCATACCCTCGGTGAGGAATTTGATTTTCGTCCCTTTAGGTACTTGATGGTCGAAGCGAACCGAGTATCCGACCATACCCTCGCGGCTCTCGCCGAGTGGAGTTCCTGCTTCGCGAGAAACACGGTGGGCAAGCGTAGTCGCGGCGACTCGACGCGGCTGGGTGACCGCAATCATACCGCCGACACTGCATTCTCGTTCGCCTTCGATGCTGACAGTTTGCCTCTTGCACCACGGTTCTTTCACCAAAAATTGGGGCACCTGGGTACTCTTTCCAGAACCAGTCTCACTAACGAGGAGAAGGACATCGCTTTGACGCATACGAGTCTGAATTTCTTGTCGGTGAGCCCAGATTGGTAGCTTTTGCCGGACCTTCAGTAAATCTGGATCGTCCCTCCATCTCGGTCCTCGTTGGTCTATCTTCGGCCTTCCTTTGTCGAAGGGCTTTTTGAACTGTGGCTTTCCAGATGGCGGAACAGACTTCTTGGGGTGGTCTTGCTGATTCGATACTGGCTTCGTTGCCTCATTTTCCGTGGATTTGGGCGTCTCTTGTGGTTCTTGTTCTTTGGGTGCCTCTTTTTTGGCAGGGGGGTTTAAGTAGCCCTCCAAGGAGATCACCTTATTTCCGACCTTGATGACATTTTTGTCGCTGATTTTCCTCTTTTTGGCGGCGCGCTCGCCATCAGGTTTTGGTGACATTATGAGGTGAGGTTGGAAGAATTAATCAGAAGCAGCAACCGCCGATTGACGTTGAGTGACAGCCGTTGTAAGAATTTTTGAGGGTCCCCCTTCCTTGACCCCGGCTTTCGTCGGGACCCCGATTCGGCGATATGCCCCGCATTTCTACAGGGCTGCACTGTGCTATCTCAGAAAGAGGTATGTACGTCTGGTGAAGTCAACGAACGAATATTTCTGAATAACATGTAGCCATAAACCGGAAGCAATCACATTACTCGCTGCTATCTTTATAGATACCATGCCGGTTCGGATGCCAGTTCCTAGCGGGGTTCTGCGCAGTAATCGCATGCTGCGTCACCCTCATGTACTTCCCCTCTCCTGCGTTGGTATAAGACCCCCCCTCAGCAACAAGATCAGGCTGTCTACATCTCATCAACGTCACATCACCTCGACCATAACTATGACTGAACGATATAAGCTTCACTGGACCGTTCCAGGTAGGCATATTCATCATATTGCATGTTCAATACGGCGTTGACTGATGTGATCGTCTGTTTGCAGCTTCTCACTTGGTCGCGACCAAGGATGCGGTCTTCAAAAGCGGCGCCGGCGTGTATGACGAGGGGAAGTATATTCAAGTGGCCTTCCAGATTACTGGCCAGGGTCAATTCATGCCCGTCGCTGCTTCAGGCGCAGTTCCTCACACCGGCGCTGTCGATCAGCTTGAGCAACTTCTTGAGTACAAAGTGGAGGTCATGTGTGCAGGAAGGGACGTCGCGAAAGCTGCAGTGGCAGCTCTGAAGAGGTACATGATTCACACTTCTTAACATATTCGAAGAATTTATTGACAAAAGTCTCTATAGCGCGCACCCATTCGAGGTCCCGGCGTATGAGGTATACAAGTTAGAGGACATCTAGCCACAACCTGAGCCATTCAATCATCCCACTGCGATTGGGTTCAGGGTTGGTCTGTGGTCAACGCTAGCCCAAGAAACCATCTCTTTCTTTTTCACAGACCAAAGACAATACTGTGTATTGGCGATATATTGACGGCAGTCGTCTACTTGATGCGGTTCAGGCGCTCTCTGTTCATCCTCGTTGAATCGTCCACGGCATCGCTCTATCAAGCCGGTTAGCCAAGTGACCAAGGTGAAACCTTGAAATCAAAAGCAATCTTACCTTCTGGCCAATTCTAGAAATAAGAGTGTCTTGTCTTGCAACCTCCTCGCCTTGGGCTCTGGCCAAGTTATTCAGTCGACCAACGGCACCGCCGAGCAAGTCAAGACCTTCGTCAATCTGCCTCTCCTGATCTTCCGCTTCCGCAGCACCTTCTTCGTCACTATCATCGGGCAACGTGTACTTGGATCGCTCGGCTTGACTTCTCTGTCCCAACTTTGGCTGGGGGCGACCAGACAAAGATACCTCTTTGAACGCTTCTTCCATGCGCTGGTTGGACTGGAACGCTTCGCGTCTCGTGTTTTCGCGAGTCTCACGCTCTTGGCGGTGGCGTTCAAGGACGGCTTCGTCGCGAGCTGCCGCGCGAGACTTGGACGTGAAGGGGTTACTGACATGAACAGCGAACATGCTTCGGTTGAGGGTCTTCAGCTCTTTGGCTCGATCCTCCGCAACCTTGTTGTGGTTCGCAGCCAAGTCCAAGTTTCGTTCCGTGTTGTGCAAACGCTCTCCCTGAGCTCCAAGTCTGGCTAATGTCGAACGACCGGTCTCCTCAGCTTGCATAGCAGCTTGCAAAGCTCGATTGACAGTGTTGACTGACTCATTTCTGACATCCTTAATCTGGTTCTTGGTAGCGCGGTATTCCTCGGCCTCTTGCTCCTCAGCCGTCAGCTCGCGGCTCTCTCCATAACCACCGTAGCCCCCGCTGGCACCAGAAGCGGCGTCGTTGCCGTATCCTCCAGGTTGCTGCTGCTTCTGCTGGTAGCGATCCTGAGCTCCTCCAAAAAGTTCATCACGCTGAGCGTCGGTATCGTTGCTGTTGGTTCTGCCCAGACCTCCGTAACCACCAGGACCACGAGCCCCGCCAGCAGCGCCACCGTAGGCGTTTTGGTTGGCGTTGTCGTAGCGATTGGCTCCGTAGCCACCAGCAGCGCCGTACTTTTCGTTTCCGTAACCTCCCGCAGGCTGAGGAGGAGCGCCGTAGCCGCCTCCAGCGCGAGGTCCGCTGGGGAGGCCACCGGGCACACCGCCAGGAGCAGTGTTGCCTGCTCGGGCTGCCTGGTAGGGCGTCATGTTGGCATACTTGTTGTTGTCTTGGGCGTAGGGGTCGTTGCCAGCGGGTGCTTGAGCATATGGGTTGTCGGAGCCGGGTGCGGGGGACTTGTTCTTCTTGCTGCCGAAGAGAGCAGAGCGGCTGGCGTCGTCGCCGTCGTCGCCGCCGCTCTTCTTACCAAAGCCGAACTTCTTCATGGTAGCTGAGGCGGAATTGGGATTGTATGCTAGATCGTCGATGGGTGGGGTGTTGAAGCTGGGCAACGGCCGAAATACGATCGTAGAGGTATTCTGGAAGGAAGCAAAACACGAGGCAACGTGCTCTGCAGAAAGTTAATCTAGAAAGGTAAGAAAGGAGATCAGGAGAAGATTTGAAGAACGGACACGGTGTAGCAGAGGCAACCCTCAGAGGATGGACAGGACAATTACTGGAGACGGCGAGCGGGCGGGTGGCAGGGGGGTTGCAGGTGCAGGTACCTAGGATTGGGAGCAAGTACCGCCTACCGACTGCGGGCTTACTGCAGCTTTATGTGGCAAAATCGGGACCGTCTTGGGTGTGTTTCGAAGACGAGCGGATGCGCCCCTCAGGGTCTAAGCCATAAAACATTCGTCAGGCCAGGCTGTTTAGGACCTGACTGAGATGGGCAAAAGATTGGGCTGGGCCGGAGGGGTTGGGGGCAGTCAGCGAACAGCGCGGCCTAATTGTGCAGGTCGTCTGGAACAAGTGCTCGACATGCGACTGGGCTGGGTTCAGCGCTGCATCTGCATCTGGCGGGGAGCGATTCGCGATTTCGAGAAAGAGACGGTTCGCGCTCTAAAAGTGGCCGCTGTCAGTCAGTTCCCGTCGGTAGGCAGCCGACAATTGGAATGTTTCCATGGCGCAGAGTGGGCTGTAAAGAATGGCCGCCGCCATGAGCCTATGACGGCGCTGCATGCTTGGCTCAGCCTCGGGTCTAGCGTCAAGGACGTTCGTGTTCCTCGTCCATTGTCTTGACATTTTCAGCTCAGCTTTGTCTTCCGGGCCTGTCTTATCCGCAACCAAGGTCCTCAGTCAGGACGCATATGCAGTAATACAGACGGTCTTAAGCATGAGTAAGCTGAGCGCGTTTGTCTTGCGTCCACGAAAGCATAAAAATACTCATGCCAGCCTCTTCGTCGACTGCACCATGCTCAGCAGATACTCAGCAAAGAGTAACCCGCTCAATTTCAGAAAGAGGTCCGCATCTGATCTCGTCAAAAAGGAGAAGGGAGATCAGCGGACCTGGGTGATCTTCGAAACTAATGAGTTCCGTCGAGTGCTCCATCACTTCTTCAACACCATGTTCGATCCAGCGTTCCAGCGTTCCAGCGTTCCAGGAGGGGCAGCCAAATAGCCCAGCGACAGAAAGACCCTGGGTGCGTGTTGGGGTGAAGAAGTACCGAGGTACATCTCCCACCTAGTGCTTGCAGAAATAGCAGGCAGGCGGTCGCGGGTAGGTTAGCCTGCTTCCAGGAGCCTTGGTACCCAAGTGGGACCAAAGTCTGCAGCAACAAGTCAGACAGTGACAATGAGGGAGACAGACCTCACCTGCAATACGGCAATTGGTACCGCCGCTTTTAAGATGTCATGACTTGACACCACGCCTCTGCCTGTCCCTACTGCCCATCGGTAGACATTCACTTGGTAAGTTACAGACAACAGAAGCCTTCACTAAGTTCAAGTGCAGTTTTTCCTGTGCATCATCATTGTCAGCAGCAAGTATCAGCATCATGAAGTTACCTTGAGGAAGGAGAAGGCTGGCTTGGTAAAGCGGCGCTGGTCCTTCCTGCCAGACTGCGAACCCGCTCCAGCTGTGGGTTCCGGGGGGTGATTCACCGCGGGCAGAATGCGCTAGTAGGTTACCCGCACTTTCTCCGCAGCGCAGGCAAGGTCCAGCCACCAGACAGGAAGGACCCTTCGATCCCACCTGGCTGTCCATCCACGTTCGCTGCGTCACACCTTGGCTGAGACCTCACCGTCTCCGAGTCATACCGTCTTTTGAGAACTTCAACGTCCTCAACCGAACAACTCGCCACGCCTTACATGCGCCTTTAACGGTTGCCACCTCCCGCTTCTACAACAGCACCTATCGACCTGAACTCACCCAAGAATCCGCAATGGCCTCCAACTAGTCAACTAGACTTCTAGTTGAGATCTATCCAGCCATCACTCGTCGTTAACGACGCCTGACCTTGAATCACCGCCTCAAGCAACCTTTACCTCAGCTTTCAAGATGATCCCGCGTATAGCAACTCGTCATTCCACCTTTGTTCCCGTAATAGCTCATCACAAAACACGCTTATACCCGTATTGGCCTTGTCCATTATCGACATTACGTATATAGAATCCGCCACTGAACCCACCGCCGCCTGAATATCAATCATGGCCTCCGGATCGATATTCACCTTCGAAACTGACCCTCAACGGGTCTCCTCCCCGTGGCTGGCTCCGGAAGAGCTGGGGAGGACACCAAAGTCTCAACCTCCCTCGGAAAATGGGGAACCTCAGCCTGGTCACCTCTCTGACTATGGAGTCACCAAACTGGAAGCAGAGCCTCAGGAGGGACCAACTGAGTACAAGCTTCACCTGCTCCTCCGACCGAGACGGACTTACACTTCGATGAGCACTATTGGCAAGCCGCCTTCCCAGCACCCCAAGACTTCTGCTTCCGCGACGCGACCTGCCAAGGTTATGCCTGCGGCTCTATCTGCATCGAGCCAGAGTCGCCAGGTGCGCCTGCAGCAATTGACGACGCAGCTTCTGTGGAGATTGCAGCAGTCCTGTGCCTACCATGCCTTGAACCCCAAAGACTTGATTGTTCCCAAATTACCTGATGATACGGCCGACTTGAGTCAGGCGTTGACGCCGCAGAAACCGCTCCCGGGACTGGAAGAATCTCGCGGTGCTCTGTACGAGATTGGCGTGGCTGACGACGGAACCCTGGTGGGATTGACAAAGGACGAGATGGATGAGAGTATCACAACTCTTAGGGTGATGGCAGCCACGCTGGGCTGTAGAGTCGAAATTCTTCGTCATGTCATCGTGGGAGAATGCGAGTGGCTGGAAACCTCCGAATTGGTGGACAATGTAGCATCGCAGCCGGCCCAGATTGGACGACAAGCGAGGCTCTGGGTGGTTGAGGCATTGGTGACTCCGGACTTCTCAGCCAAGCATTCTCTTGCAGAAATCCCCGAGAGTGGCCATCGAGAGGTCAAGCAGTCTCCTAGAGCCAACGAGCCTGTTGTGTTACCAAACAGGGGTCGTTCTACGACCGACCAGCTTAGGATAACGCTCACGGGGCCAACAACGTCTGGCAAATCTACTCTTCTGGGGACATTGTCTACTGGAACTCTCGACAATGGGCGTGGGAAGAGTCGTATCAGTCTTTTCAAGCATCGCCATGAGGTTGCCTCCGGCTTGACCAGCTCAGTAGCCCAAGAGCTCATTGGGTACAAGGATCACGCCATCTTCAACTTCTCCCAGGATCATGTCGAATCATGGATTGATATCCACGACAGCGCCGAAAATGGCCGTCTGGTTTTTGTCTCCGACTCTGCCGGGCATCCCCGATACCGTCGCACCATTCTCCGAGGGTTGTTCGGCTGGGCTCCCCAATGGACGGTTCTGTGTTTGGCCGCCGACGACAATGAAGCCAGCTCTACCAAGGATGGTGCCAGCTCGACGGCCAACGAAGTCCTCGGAATCGCAGGCGCAGGTGTAGACCTCGCAAAAGCCCATCTGGAATTGTGCTTAAAACTCAAGACTCCTCTGGTCATTGTCATCACGAAACTTGACCTGGCAACCAAAGCTAGTCTGCAGAGAACTCTAGGACAAGTACTGACACATGTCAAAGAGGCTGGCCGGGTTCCCAAGATCCTGCAACCTGCCGCAGGTGGTGCTCAGGAATGGAGCAGAATTCCCTCGGCAGAGCTCAACAAGGCCCAAGTTCTCACCAACGGAATGGAGCAGAGCGTAGACTTGCTCAAGCACATACCCATCGTCCTTACCAGCGCCGTTAGTGGTGCGGGCATAGGGTTGGCCCATGCCCTCTTGGAGAATCTCCCATTACCACCTGTGCCGACTGCGCATGACTTTGTGGGGATGGCCCTGAACCCGGAGCAGCCTTCCTGTCTATTCCACGTCGACGACACCTTTAGTCTACCTGCGTCCTATGCCTCTCTTGCTGAGAATCCCAACCAGAATGACACTGGAACTGTAGTGTCGGGTTATTTGAGATTCGGAAAGCTCTCCGTGGGGGACGCCATCGTGGTTGGGCCATTTCCTTCGGGCGATGACGACTTCAAGGGCATGACACCAGAGGATAGGCCCTCTCCAGGTAACTACGGCTTGTCAATATCCCACCCCTCTTCCGCAGAGCTGGCCAAGATCGCGATACGTAACACGGTCGCGGCCTCGACTATTAAGGGAGAATGGCACAAGGCGAAGATTGTCAGCATCCGCAACCTGAGGCTTCCGGTTAACACCCTTGAAGCCGGCCAAGTTGGCACCATTGGGATCGTTCTGGATATGCCGCCCGAGAGCCTCACAGAGGGTGATTTTGAGCGGCTGTCGAGTGCACCTCGCATCAGGAAAGGCATGGTCCTGGCAATCCCATCAAAGCACATGGTGGATACAGGAATGTCTCTCCAGGCCGCGAGTGGACTGACAGCGTTATTCCAAGAGCCAAACACGGCGTTCCTGACGTATGGATCTCTAGTAAATCTCTATGTTGGAAGCATACGAGCAGCCGCCAGAGTCATGGGAGTGTCAAGAGTGCGCCACGAGCAGGCCATGAAATCAGCCGATGACGGGGAAGACATTTTCAACATGAACGATCACGATGAGTCCATGACAAACTCGGAACTCGTTGGGGGCGTCCAGGTAACATTGGAGTTGCTGACTAGCCGGGAGTGGGTTGAGATGGGTTCACAAATCTTGCTCCTCGAAGGTGGCCGCAATGATAAGTCTGGGCTTGAAGGATTCGTCGGAACTGTGGTGGAGATTGTTGACTGATTCGCGAGCGACAAGCGTTGGTTTTGATTATTGGATTTCGCCGTAAGAGCGTTGTACTTTTGTTTACTGCGTCATGCTAGCTTTGATTTCGTCTTCGTCGATTTCTTTTCTCATTATCGATGTATTCTTTCCTCTCTGTAGTTTTATTCCAGCAATAGACGGCTTCCTGTAAACGCCCAGACGCCAACCACTCCCACACTTCACGATGCCGTCATCATGCCCTTACAAGGCCATAGAAGAGTGTCCAGGTCAGGATGAAACCCGGGAGCCCAGCAAACAATCCACCGGTCCAGAACTCGAAAGGCCCCCGGAAGTACCGGCTAGTGCTGAGGAACGGAAGTCCTGCAGCAGTCGATTGCGGCGCGATGTGGAAGACGTAGACGAGGAGGACGGTGAGAAACGAGAAGAGGATGTAAAAGAGGAAGCCGCTGTAGGATTCGAGCCCGAGGATGCCGGCGGCGACGCCGAACAGGGACGCTGTGAGACTTTGCAGATTTGACAGGGCCTTGCGTGCGTGGAAGCAGAGAGTTAGCAAAAAGTCGCAACAGCCACAGAGCACGCCCATTTATCCATCCATCCAACCCGCCTCGGGGAAGCTTGTATCCCACCTTTGTGTTGTGCATCACGGACTCCTGCACGATCGGAGAGATTTGGTAGTCGCGTTCGGTCGGCATGGCTGCGGTTGTTGCGTGCGGGATTGCAGCTTCGCTTGGGGGTTTGGTTCGTCTGGGGCGACACCGGGATTGGGGATTCGCGATCGTGCTGCCGTCGTCGTGATGTTTGCCTTTCTCGACGTGGTAGAGCTGTGCTTCAGCTAGGCGGGCAAGATTAGGTAATGCGCCTAACGGCCATCTAACTCAATTCGCCTACCCGACGGGGGCTTCAGACGGGCCCGACCTGGATTCCGGATTCCGGTGTAACAATGTTCCTACCTGCGTTAGCGCCAGGGGCCCCCCAGTTCGGTCTCGGCTCCGCCCCGTGTCGTCCCATGTACCAAATTTAAAAACCATGCAAATAATACCACGTTAATAAAGTACGTGGTACATACGGGATGCGCGGCGCGGCGTGCTCTCTTCACCGTTCGCTTCGTTGGCTGGGTCGATCATCTGCAGTCACCCCACTGACAGGAGCGTCTTGAATGACACCAATGGTCAACAGCGACAGAGGACAACAGAGAGGACATTTAAAATGACGACTGCGGAGACGGTAACATAAAGTACATATCAATAACTAATAACAGAAAGGATGACTGCGGTGACGATCGAACGTATCACAGAGTAAGACAGAGAGAGAAAGTAGGTAGCTCGTAGCTAACGGGTCTAGTCGCTAGCCCCGACTCATCCCTTTGACCCCAAGAAAGTGGCTGTAAGTAAGGTCCATTCTCCCCTGGTAAAAAGACCAACGGTCTCTATGTAGTGCGTTATTGATCGGATTCCCCTGCAAATATTATTGGGCGGTTGATATAGACTAAACTCGTCCTCTGGGAGTCAGGTGAAGATGGCTCGTGGCCATCGGTGTCGGTTTCTCAGAGAGTGAGTGAGAGTAAGGTGGATGTCGTTAAGATCCACCCCACTGAAGACCCCAAAAACAGCGACTTACCCCTTGCACGTTAATCGGTTACAGGGGTGCGGGATCCTTCCCCATTCGCGAGTGGCAGCAGGTCACTTTGGTCACTGGCAGGTCGGCGCTTTGGGAGCACGAGCAGTGTTCCAACTCTCCCTTCCCACCCCCCCTGTGCAACACACTCCGCAATCACACTACGTATCCTACACGAACCGTATATATCCCCGAGGCACCGTCCATACACTCATTGCACATGTTTTGCGTCTCCCACTTGAGGTTGTCCATGGTTTCTGTTTGCAACTGCCCCTCTTTTCCTTTCCGTCACGATTCCACGACACTGCGGCAACACGACTACTGAAGAGCGCGACCGCAGATGGCCGTGTTGCTTGCAAGTGCCTTGTCGAAACGAAACTTGTCGCCAGGTCGCTAGATGGAGCCCGTTGTGTTCGACCAGTCGCCGCTCGCCGAGTACCTTCGTGGTGAGTCCAGTCCCCGCGAAGAAACCGCGCCCCAAGTGCTCGTTAGAACTGCGACTGACGATGTGCGCGCGACAGATGAAGGCGAAAACGAGCAGGCAGATTGGGCGCACGAGGATCCTCCAAACTACGACTTGTCACCTCCCTCGAGCCCAGAATTCGCGCCGACAGGTCGGCCCATGGTCAGGTCGAGATTCCGCAACAACCCTCTACAGATAAATATTCCGACCAAGTCCTCGACCGATAAGTCCTACAGAAAGAGCTACTCTGTGCGCAACACCGAAATCCCCTTTCCGTGTCACATGGGGAAATTACTGACTGGTGTTGTGTGTCCTCTTTCAGATTGCGGTAGCGTCTAGGATTGACCGAGCCGACAACTCCAAATTCCTCGAGCAATTTCGCTATACCATTATCGCATCCCAGCTATTGAGTGGACACTCAATATTATCCCAGCACCATGCACCATCCCGGCCTGCCAACCCTCCGATTGACGGCAATTCGACCGACAAGTTGCTGGACTCAACAGGCGCTGTCGCAGCGGTCTTGGGCGCCTTGGCTTTGGCCGTCACGATCAAAAGGCTCGCAGGTTCAGGAACTTGGAACAAGAAATGGGTTGCGGTAGTTCTGTTTGTAGCCGTGATCGCTGCAGGGATCGTCCATGTGTTTATGCGGAGGCAGTGGTTGAGGTATAGACGGCTGCAAGCACTGTCAGAGGTCACTGCGTTTGTTTCAAACTCTCAGGAATTCGACAGCGCGACTGGCGCGGCCGTCGCATTGGTACAAGAGGTGGAACTTGTGTCCAGAGGCTACCGTCTGTAAGTTTGGTTTTTTCCCTGATTTTTCCGACGATGATGGAGAAAAAAGGCTTGTATGCGCTGACACATGGTTTAGGAGTGCGCCACTGCCGCCCATCAGTCGCATCGAAGACCGCTCACAGACTCGAAAGTGCGTGCGCCTGCGCAAAGCCTTGAAGGCTTGCTTTGCAGATGTCATTGCAGCCTACGATCAGACCATGCTTGTGGTCAAGGGGTTCTCGGAGCAGCTCGACCTGGAAAAGTACTACGATATTTACGATATAAGCGACTTCGACATGTCGGATGCCAAATTGGGGTTCAAGGAAAATGAGTTTGACGACCCCGAGTCCCTGCGGACGCTCAAGATTCTCGCCGCACGGTTCCACACCATCCGTAAGATGTTTTTGTGTGCGCTACTGGCCTTGGACGCAAGTGGTGATAGCAGCGACCTGCTGAGGTGGACAACTACTGTCGAAGCGGTGCGCACGCTCAACACGGTTACACAGACTGCGTTCGAGAGGCTGAGGAGACTTTTGAGTGAGGAAGAGTGTAAGTTGTCGGCAGCCATTATCTGACCACCAAATGCTAACATTCCCGAAGCATTCCCGGCACCGCCAACTCCAAAGATGCCCCTGACACCCGGCAGGGAGAGATGGAGATCACAATTGCGCAAGCTTAACTCCCTATCCAGTGGGATCCGCGGTCTTCAAGCGAAGTTGACACTGCTTCGAGAGGAGTCGGACCGCAGTCTCAACGAATCCGACGACATTTCTGAGCTTGGTTCCGATCTCATGGCTCAGTACGAATCTATTGGCGCGGACTTGAAGATCCTGATGCAGGCTTGGGAGGAAGGCAAAGCAGCCCTTGCAGTGGGCATTGACCGGAATGAGAAGAGGCTCTCGTCCATGAGCACCTTGCTGTCTCCTGCGAGCTCGCTCAGCGGGCTTACAACTGTGGAAGAAGGAGGCGCCGCTGAAGCTTTGAAGGCGCTCAACGGAGAGTCGCCGTCCAGTTTAGACTTCAGCAGCACAGGCGAACTTGACACGGAAGAAATCTTTGAGGCTGTCGCCCTGCCACGGCCGAAAAGTCTGCTCACTAGAGAGGAACGCATCATCAAGATGAGGGAAGATCGAGAAAAGCGAGAATCACTCAGAGAAAAAGCGGATGCAAACAGGGGCATGCTCAAGGAGCTCGAGATGGTCATCAACCTTCGACCCCGCCCTCGCGCAGGGACCAATCCGTCACGCATCGTTTCGATGTGACGAGAACATGATAATTAACGACAGACAATGGGCGTTTTGGAACAGGAAACCAACTAATCGTACAGTCATTTTTGCCTTATTTTCCTTTTATTGTTTGATACTTAATTCGCGCAGACACTCTCGTTTTGCCGACTGCATATAGAAGGGGCCATGGAACTCAGGGACAGGAGGCATCGTTCACTGAAATCATTCATTTGTACTTTATGACGACGTTGATGTCAGGCTCTTCAGCGAGCCCAAAACTGTACAGACTACCTAGTATCTCAAGATAATTGAAAAGTGTCGAATGAATAACCAACTGCACTTGTGACCAGTTGCCAAACGCACTTTCATTGTTGTTGCCAATGTTTTGTCTCAAATGTATTAGACAAAGGACTCCAGTTGGCAGGGTAAAGGAAAGGGGCCACGATTCAGGGGAATCTCAAGCCCCTGAGCATGGAGTCTGCTGGAAGTCCGGTGAGCCCGGGCCAGTTTCCTCAGAGAGGTCAAGCGTGCCTAGCAGCTTACCTATCAGCTCCAGGCTGCCTTACGTCGGTGGAAGGCGCACGTGCCACCATCAATCATTGATTCTTCCTGCCCCGCGCGCGTTAGATTGGCGTCGAGCCCTACTGAAGGCTGGACGCGTCTCCCCTCCACTCCAGCCCACCACGACCACGCGCTACGTGTCTGCCCATTAAAGTGCTTCGCGACTTCTCCTTCTTAACCATCACCTCGACTACTCAACTTTTTTGCCAAAGCTCACGATCAATCTTTGCGCTTCGTCGTACATTTCCTTGATTTTCCAGATACCCCATCTCCTCTTTTTCCACGCAAATAATCAGCCAGTACGTTCTGTTCTACCCTTTCGCTCACCGTTTTTTTTTGTCTCATGCGGAGTTGTGGAACACAGCTAACATTGTGCAGAAATGCTTGAAGCCAGACTCGACCAGGCCGACATCCTCAAGAAGGTGGTTGAATCCATCAGAGAGCTTGTCCAGGACTGCAACTTCGACTGCAATGACTCCGGCATCATGCTGCAGGCCATGGACAACTCGCACGTCGCGCTCGTGTCCATGGCCCTCAAGACCGAGGCCTTCTCCCCCTACCGCTGCGACCGCAACATTGCGCTTGGCCTCAACCTCGCCTCTCTGCAGAAGGTTCTCCGTGCCGCCCAGGGCGAGGATGTCCTGACGCTCAAGGCCGAGGACGCCCCTGACAGCCTCAACATTGTCTTCGAGAGCTCGGAGCACGACCGCATCAGCGAGTACGACCTCAAGCTGATGGATATCGACCAAGAGCACCTTGGTATTCCCGAGACGGAGTACGCCGCCACCATCACCATGCCCAGCTCCGAATTCAAGCGTATTTGCGGAGATCTGCAGGCCATGAGCGAGTCTGGTGAGTAGTCGACGTGCCGGCAATTAATCTGGACAAGAACTGATGAATCTGCCTACAGTGACGATCGACGCGAGCAAGGACGGTGTCAAGTTTGCCTGCACGGGCGATATTGGTAACGGATCTGTCACCCTCCGCAGCCACACCAACGTCGACAAGCCCGAGCTGAACGTCGACATTGAGCTTACCGAGCCCGTCTCCCTGACCTTCTCCCTCAAGTACCTCGTCAACTTCTGCAAGGCCGCCGCCATGTCCAAGCAGGTCAAGATCTGCCTGTCCAACGAGGTCCCTCTGCTGGTTGAGTACACTTTGGTGGGCCAGAGCTACCTGCGCTTCTACCTGGCGCCGAAGGTACGTCATTCTCAACAACGCTTTTGGAATACAAATGCTAATCAGGCTACAGATTGGTGACGAGGAGTAAATTGGCGATTGACGACGGCATGAAGATTTTAATGCGGGCGTTGCACGGAATCAGAGACAGGCATTGGTGCCTGCTCATGCACTCTGGATTGACTTTTTGCATGTTCTAGAGACTCTTGCGGAATATGCTGGTAGACGAAGGGCAAAAGCATCTTTGGGACCACGAACAATAATGAGATTACCGTTTCTGCGTATACAATTGCATGACTCCAACTGTGCTTCTGTTGACAGTGGATTGACCTTTGAGACGACGACCAGCCGCCAGCTGGCAGCAGCTGCAGACTGCCTTCATGTCTGCCGACATTCCAAACATGTCCTAGTGCGGGGTTCTTCGGCGCCCTTTTGGCGGGGTCATTTTCCATTCAGACGGGACCCTTGAAAAATATCGGATTGGACGGTGCGGAACGTCATACCGTGAGAGTCAGAGGCTAGAAGAACCTGGAACCGCCTTACATCGGTCCAAGTCTAATCTCACTTAGTCACTTTTACGGCCAACTACAGATACGGCTCGAAAATCTCGTAGATACTGGGAATTCCACTGATAATCGACCCCGCCTCTATTTGCGTTTTCCCCATTTGACTCGTAGAGCGCCTCTTTCGATCTGTTCACTCATATCTTTCGTTATACCCCTTTACTCTGGGTTGAAACTGTTCATTGCCGCGCATCGGCCGCTCTCCCGATATCTCATCCCCACCGCCGAGATCCGGAGGTGCATTGTGATATCTGAGATCTGCGCCGAATCATAGAAGACCTAGAAACACACACATAGAACAGTCATTGGTTCTCGGGATAGTCTTTGTTTTTAGGCTTTCAAAATGGCACCAGACCTTCCCATTCCCGATACGCGCGTCCTTGCCGTCGCTAGTCATGTGAGGCGCTCATCACTCCCCGATCTCTCTCATGCCGCATATAGGGTGACTGACTTATGATCCAAGGTCGTATCTGGGTGAGTCGCTGCAGACCCAACCTAGCGCATCAGCGAGGAGTTAATGCGCGCTGACACACAACATGCAGAAACGTGGGAAACAAGATCGCTGTCTTCACGCTGCAGTCGTTAGGTTGCGACGTCGCGGCCCTCAACACTGTCCAGTTCAGTCTGTTCACCCCCTTTCTCCAACTTGCCTGTGTATGTGTGTCACGCAGCTAACAATGAGCGGGGACGATAAGGCAACCACACCGGCTACCGCCAATGGAAAGGGACAAAGGTCTCGGCGAAGGAGATCCGCGACCTGTTCGAGGGCCTGAAGCAGTCATACCTGGATGACTTTGACATGATGCTCTCGGGTTACATCCCCGGCGCGGAGGCGGTCATGGCCGTCGGCGACATCGCCAAGGAGCTCAAGGCGAAATCCAGCGACGGCAGCTTCTTCTGGGTTCTGGACCCCGTGATGGGCGACAACGGCAAACTCTACGTCGCCGAGGAGGTGGTGCCCGCATACCAGAGTCTCGTGGAGCACGCGGACCTGATCCTGCCGAACCAGTTTGAGGCCGAGTGAGTTTCGTGCTTTCCCCCGTGATGTGAGAGATTACGTGTATTGATACCTGCAAAAAGGCTGCTCTCCGGCGTCAAAATCACAGACATGAACTCCCTCCAGTCCGCCATCCACGCGCTGCACAGCAAATTCCGCATCCCGCACGTCGTCATCACTTCGGTCAGCCTCGCCGCGCCAGACCACCCGCCCTCGCACCTGTCCGTCGTGGGCTCCAGCATGGACCCGTCGACGGGCGCGCCCCGCCTCTTCAAGATCGTTTTCCCGGCCATCGACGCCTACTTCTCGGGCACGGGCGACATGTTCGCGGCGCTGATGACGGTGCGCATGCGCGAGGCCGTGATCGCCGCTGGCAGCCAGCTGCAGAAGACCAGGTCGTGGCTGAGCGGGCCCGAGGTCGACGCGCTGGACCTGCCGCTGGCGAGGGCGGCGGAGATGGTGCTTGCGAGCATGCATGAGGTGCTCACGCAGACGGCGCGGGGCATGCAGGAGGCTGTGGGGGCCGCGGCGGCGGAGGTCTCGACGGAGGAGGAGAAGAAGAAGCTGCATCTGCTCAAGAGCAAGAGCGCGGAGCTGAAGCTGGTGAGGAACTTGGCGTGCTTGAGGGACCCGGTCGTGAGTTTCCGGGCGAAGAAGTTGTAGGTGTTGGCGGGGAAAGAGGTAGATGTTCCTTATACAGAATGGGGGTTTTAGTTCACCTGCATGTGCGGCGTGGTTGGGATAGATTTAAAGGCATTATGGTCGTAGCATTGTCATCATTCATATATTGTTCAGTCGGGTTTACCCCTTTCTATAAGCTTTCCCCATCCGGTGCGTGACGGTGGGTGCGGTATGTCCCACGGTGCTCTCTTTCGAGTCTAGCCTGCCTCTTTTATATCCTCATCCCGCCATGCTCCATTTTCCTCTCTTCCATTTTATATCGGGGTAGTAGGTTTGTATCTACTGCAGAGCAACGCCAGTGCTGCCGAAGCCGCCGGCGCCGCGCACGCTCTCCTCGAGCTCCTGGACCTCGACGATTTCGGGGGTGAAGATGCGCTCGACGACGAGCTGGGCGATACGATCGCCCTCGGCGACCTCGAAGTCGGAGTCGGCGTGGTTGAAGAGGAGGACCTTGACCTCGCCGCGGTAGTCCGCGTCGATGACGCCGGCGCCGGTGTCGATGAAGTTCTTCGAGGCGAGACCGGAGCGAGGGGCAACGCGGCCGTCTGTTGTAGGGGATGTCTAATTAGATTCTTCTGCCGGGATACCAATCTTTCTCGAAGTTCAGTTACGTACAGGTGCCGGCCGGGACGGAGATGGCAATGTCGGTGCTGACGAGGGCCTTGCCACGCGCCGGGATGATGGTTGGCTTCGCGGCATAGAGGTCGTAGCCGGCGGCGTAGAGGCTGCCGCGGGTAGGCAGGCGAGCCTTGTCCGAGAGCTTCTTGACCTGGAGGGGCGGGCAGGGCTCCATGGCGGCGGGGACGGGTGCGTCGTCGGAGGCGGTCTTTACTCGCTTTGCGGGAGGGTCAGAGGGCTGAGCAGGCGCGGCGACAGGTTCAGCAGAGGTCATTATGGTAGTTGGGCGTTTTGGGAGTCGTTTCTCGCGAGGATTTTGGGAAGAGAAAGTTTACCGTTGTTTGAAGGGTCGTCTTGCGGTCAAGCGGGGGACGATTAAGGCGGTGGCAGTAATAGCTTGAGGACCCTGGGCACCTTAGGTAAAGCTTGGTGTGGGCTCTCACAATGGCGGTGTCGCGACGACGCGTAAAGACGCGGGTGAGGAATTGGCCAATCATAGCGGGTCCCCTAATTGAGCTCATCGCCTTGCCATTAAAGCGAGCCGACAGCTGCCATCCTTGGACAACGGTTGTTTGTTTCTGACGACAATTTACGATGATCCATTATGGTCTCATCAGAGCCTCAAGGTAGCGCCGTCAACCGCTGCGAGTCACTCTTTCCGCCCCAAAGTTTGTTCAACTTTGAAGGTTTGCATTGTTCAGCGCCAAACTGTGTTGCCCAACGCATACGTGCCAAGTTTCTCATTTCTACACCAAACGCTTTTCCGTGCAATTCAGATCTGTACCTAGATCCGCAGGGACGTGCAGAGTCAAAATGGCATGCACTGTGGTGCAAAACTCCGCAACGAGCCCGCACTGTGACAAACAGAGCTTCATCATGGCCAGGTGGAAAATAGCGTCCTGACTCGGCGGGCTTGACGCTTAACATCAGGAGCTTTTCTCTGACATTGAAGGACCCAAGATGGACATGCCATTGCCAAAATCTCAGTTTGATTGCCGGTTGCTCACCCTCCCCACACGGGGGATCTGCACCGCGGGTACGCGGCATGCCGGGTCCTCCTAGTCGTCTAGTTCTCTTCCAAAATCAATCAGCTTGAGCCTCGTGGCATCTCTGGGGTGGAACTGTGCGACCTTGGACCGCACCAGAAACCGCGCCGCTGCCGTCTCCTTTGGTAACTTGACGTAAGATGCCGTGCTATCGCCTCCCGCTTCCACAAGCTGGTTCAAAAGTTGCTCTGTAAGCTCGCGCATCTCGCGTCCGGCAGCTGCTGCTTCGTCGACTTCGCCGCGCTGGTCTCTGCCATCCTCCTGAGGTAAACCCCATACTTCCTCAAGCCGTCTTTGTCGCTTGTCCTCGTCTGGCTTGGACTTGACCTTCATTGGCCGACCCTGGGCATTGAAACCCGCAACGAGTTGATCCGAGTCGATCTCCATCATGTCGCCTACGACTGGGCCGCCGAGGTCTTCCGCCGCTAGCTGTGCCGCAAGGTGATCATCAATGAACTTCCTGAGAGCCTTGAGAAGTTTGGACGTCTCCTTGTCGTAACGCCTCTTCTTTTGCTTCAGTTCATCCAGTCTTTCCCTGGCCGCCTGTGCGGGCGTTAATTCCATCCGAGATTCGGCGTCATCTTCTAGCGATTGGATGCGGTTCTCTAAGCTTTGCTGCAGCAGCTTCTGATCAGCCAAATTTGCCTGTTCACTTTCAAGCCTGCGTTTGGCTTGCTCGAGTGATGCCCACTGACTGGCCAGATACGCTCGGGACTCGGCGACAGTCTGATGTGTCTTTCGTAGGGCCAAGAGCGCGGGCAAGACTGATGCCGAGGAAGGGACGAATGGTGGTGTTGCAGCAACCTTCTCAAAAGCCCCCTTCATGACTTCATAGCTGTCTTTCCCTGTGCCAGGCGCGGTCTGCGACGGTCTCCCATTTTGCTGAAGCTAATGTGCCATTAGCTGGAGGTGAACTTGTGTTCGGTGTAGACGGCATACCTTGGCAAGCTCCTCCCGGTGTTGCTGAATCTTTTCTTGGAGTTCCTGCAAGCTCTGTTCCAGACTCAAAGTATACCTATCGTCTCCAGGCCGAGGAGAAGAGTCCGCCATGCGGGGCGCTTTGATGGTGCGTCCCAAGATCTCTCCGGTCAGTTGGATAAGATAGCCCAGACCCTTGAATAGTCCAAACGATCTGATATTTTGGCGACACGGTGCCAATATGAGCCAGGAGGTTGCACGCGACTTTCAGAGGGTGCCCCAGAAGAAACGAAACAGTTTAAGCAACGGCAGCACGCGACGAAATCAAGCCGTCCCAAAGCACACGGTCCGTCGGGGTTGCATCCAGGTCCAATGGGAATGGGAATCTGATAGAACCCCTGTCGGAGAAAACAAGGCGTGCTCAGGCTTCAGACCGGGCGCTAGATCCTCTCTGACTGTTTCAAAGGAGGTGTCACTGTGTGTCGGGTGTTATCGAGATTTCCGGGGGACAGGCAGGGCCGGCGCGAAGAGACGGCACGGATGATGCACTGTCTGTCTAGCTGTCTGTCGCGGTCTGCCACGCTGACAAGTGACACCGACGGGGTAGATTCCGTAGAGGGAGTCTGCCAGAAGAGAGAAAAAGCAGCCTGACGTCGGTGTTGGAACTGCGGTGGCTGAGATCGGCGTGGTCTCGGGGTAGGACGGATGGCAAAGACGCGATTCTGCTATTGGAGTGTATGCGCGTAGGCTCGGTAATCAGTAATGAAAAGGTGCTCGCGCGCAAACGAAGCACCGTTGAGGTTACAGCCAGCGTTGGTGCTGGAATATCAAATGCAGGGCGAGCATCGCACGTAAAGCGGGCAGGCAAGTTGCACTCGCACCGCCTGAGGATGGGGGACTGGGGCTTAGCGACACACTTTTCGCGGTCATGTTGCGGGAGGCAAGCGTCAAACACACTGTGCGGCTCGCCGCTTCTGTCCAATCAAACAATGCGCTGCAGGAACACCAAGTGGCCAAACGCGATTGGGGGCCCCGGGAAACAAGCACCCCCCATGCAGCTTAATCTGCCGGAGCAAATCACTCACACTGCTACTGTGTGGCTCTTGCTCAGAAAGGTGGGCAGTGGGGAAGACGGCGGGTGGACCGTGCGTCCGTGCCGGCTACTGTGCTGGGCTGCGCTGAGTTGGGAGGCAATCGCAGCCAACAACCGTGAGGGCCTTCCACTGCTGGCTGCCCGCTGGCAGTGAGGTGGTATCCGTACTGACACGGCGTACTGGGCAAGGCAGGGCAGGCACACTGGCAGTGGCACCTGCGTCCGCGCCTGAGGTGTGAGGTGTGCGCACCTGGCTGCTGCGTACGCATTAGGCCGATCTTTTTTCTACGAGGTTTCAGCAATATCTTGCCCTCGCCCATTCCCAAACCTCTTCGAGACATCCGGACCCCCTTCCAACTCATCTGTTTGCACAGGTTTCCTTCCCATCTCTTTTAATCGCCGCAGCCCGCTTCCCCCGTCCCGTCCGCTCTGTTCTAGCTGAACATCATCTGGTGGGTTGTATTTTCGTGGGCGCATCGCATCGGATTTCCGCTCTCCCCTCACGTGTCGTGTCGCCTCCAAGCTTGCTTGCTCTGACCCGACCGTCGGCGCGTCGCCAGCATCAGCAAACTGCTTGAAGCACCGTCCAGTGAAGAGACATTTCATCGCAGAACTGGTCATCAAAGCTCTGCTTGGAGACTTGACAAGCCGTCGCAACTCATTGCAGCTTCAGTTCCCCCTGCCTTGCAGCTTGGACTGTTCGTTTGACGGAGAAAGGTTTGAGCTTCTGCATCCGAATCGCCTCCTACATACAGCCTTTGTCTACCATCAGCTCTCTTCCCCTCCCGCCTTCTACCTCTCTTTTCCATCATCACCTCTTCCTGTCCGCCTCGCTGCTTCCCCGCCGCGCCTTCCCTCCGCTTGACCTGAGTTTCTCTGCGATTCTCACGATTTCGGAAGCTACCACGACCCTGATAGGATAGGAGTCATCCTGAATCCACCACCCCGACCTACCTCAACTTCACGATCCTCTGCCCTACGACCTCTATCCTCCTCGAGCACAGCCACTTCACGAAGAAAAAAAAAAACGGTTTCTTTTGAACCCGACCCCGACCACGCCACTACACCAGCCCGTTTTCCTTTGAAAACTTCTGTGGTGTAGATAGTCGAATACAAGCTCTTCTAGAACCAAAAGACGGAATCGCGAAAACTTGTGTGAGACATTAACAACTAGCCCATCATGTCCGCGTCACCCACTCAACCCTCAAACTCGGCCAAGCGCCCTCTTGAGGAGACTTCTTCTCCCTCGCGCAGCAACGACCAGCCGGACGCGAAACGGCCTGCCTTGGACAAGATTCTGAAGAGCGATGAGGAGATCGAGATGGCCCAGCCCATTGACGGGCTCGATGCCGGTATCGAAACACCGAGCGCAAACGGCGCTGAAAAGACAAACGGCGAGAAGGCCAAGTCTGATCAGGCTGACTCCGAGAGCACCGAGACGAAGCCCATCCAAAGCTCTGTCGCTGGCGCTGTTCCTGCGACTCCCTCCGCCTCCGCGAGTCACGATGAGCGAGACTGGATCCACATTCGCGCTGTTATTTCCAGCCCGGAAGCTGCCACCGTCATCGGAAAGGGCGGAGAGAACGTCTCCAACATTCGCAAGATGTCGGGTGCCAAGTGCACTGTCAGCGACTACCAGAAGGGAGCCGTCGAGCGCATCTTGACCGTCAGCGGTGTCGTCGATGCTGCTGCAAAGGTCCGTTGTCGCATCCTGTCTACCTTCACTGGGCCCATTTGCTAATTGAGAAATAGGCCTTCGGTTTGATTATCCGCACCCTAAACAACGAGCCGCTAGCTGAGCCATCCAGCGCCCAGTCAAAGACGTACCCTCTTCGTTTGCTCATTCCGCATATCTTGATTGGTTCCATTATTGGAAAGGGTGGTGCGCGAATCCGTGAGATTCAAGAGGCCTCTGGAGCTAGGCTTAACGCTTCTGACTCTTGCTTGCCTCTCTCCACCGAGCGCTCTCTGGTGGTCATGGGTGTTGCTGATGCTGTTCACATCGCGACTTACTATGTCGGTAGCACTCTCCTGGAGCAGTTGAACGACCGTTTCGGTGGTCCAGCCGCGTCCGCGTACGCCACGCGAAGTGGAGGACCTGCCGGCATTGTTCCTGGCGGTATGCAGGTCGTCCCGTACTGCCCGCAGCCGACCACCGGCAACTACGGTAACCGTGAAAACTACAACCGGAGACACGATGCCCGCGCTCAGCACCATCTTCCTGCCGCTCCCTACGCGCAGCCTTACCCAGGCCACCACGCCGCTCAGCCGAACCCAGCCATGCCCATCCACTACGGTGCGGCGCAAGCCGGCGGCTACGGCGCCGCTGCCCCTATGCAGCCTCACGCTGGCGCCGCTGTTCCTCAGCCTCACGGCGCTCACCCGGCTCAGCCTATGCACGGCGGAGCTATGCCCGGCGCTCCCCTGACCCAGCAGATCTACATCCCCAACGACATGGTCGGTGCCATCATCGGCAAGGGAGGTCAGAAGATCAACGAAATACGCCAGATCAGCGGCAGTGTCATTAAGATCAACGAGCCGCAGGACAACAGCAATGAGCGACTGGTCACCATCACTGGAACGGAGGAGTGCAATCGTATGGCGCTGTACATGCTATATTCTCGTCTTGGTTAGTATTTTACGGCTCGAAAGTCCGCTTGGGCGAAATCGCTAACACCCCTCGCAGAATCGGAAAAACACCGCATTTAACGTTGACGACGTTTATGACTTACTGACTCACAATTTTAGTTCGGCAAAACAAAACTACGGGCGGATCTGGTACAGTTTCTTTTCTTCACGCGAAACATCATCGCCGCGCTTGGGGGAATATCGGATTGGTCTCCGGCGTTGTCACCGTCGCGAGGCCCCAGTTAGGACGGGGACGGATATTGATCAACGTGATCTGATCAAAGGTGCTTTTAGAGGAGGTACTACTTTTAATAGTGCACTACTCTCTTTTACTTCAACACTCTCCAGCACATCTTGACTCCCTGCCCAAATTTGCACAATCACCATCGCGCGCCCCATCCATCGTCGCCCTACCATCCACTCCGCCTTGCATACCCAGCCCTGTGGACATGACAGCCTCTTAGCCTCTCGAACCTTAGACTCTTCCGTGACCCCGCTCAATATCGTCCCAAGCCTGCCTGCCACCAGCCTTCGAGCTCCTGCCTAGCCTAGCCCTCTTTCCTATGTCTGCGGCCCATCATGTGCGCTAGCCTCCCTTGAGGCGCAGTACCATGCTCACCCATTCCTTGCCCGCGTTTTGGCGGAGGAGAACAGTGTTGGATGGCCCGGACGAGGGTCCTTGATCCTGAGGTCTTCCGAGTTTGCTAACATGATCGTTCTAGGGATCCGACGATTCATCGCGAGGGCTACGAGTGTGGCGGCGGGAGGTTCACGGCGAAAGGACAAAACTTCAGTTGAGTGGACTACAATCTCTTCTACAGCTAACCACCCACAGTAGCCGTTTTTCCGAAAACAGCTGGCATAAACGCCTTACTTTCTTTTACGCCTCGTAGTTCCGCGGCAAGATTTTAAGGACGAGAGAGGTTCCGCTTTGATGCTGGCCATGGCACGAAGGCTACTCATACGGAGGTCGCTTTGCAAGTTTCAAGAGAGCGCTTGTCTTTCGTGATGGCACCCACTATACGGGTCACGTAGCTCTGTCGTGTGATTATAATTTTAATGCTAGTTTGTAGTGTCAATATTAGGATTCATAGACCATCGTAACCACCCAATCTTGGTCGTTCTCCGCCGGTTCCCCTGAATGCCTTGAGCTTCCTCCATTCAGATTTGCTTGAGATTCACGTGGAACTGCACAACGTTAGCAATCCCGAACTCGCCGTAACAACCACTCAGTGCCCCGACTTACCATGGCGATATCCTTACGTCCCGACCTCAATAGATGGATGTTGTCAGAGATTGCTGCCACCGCTGTTAGCCCCCCTTTCCCATACCAGGAATCGAAGAGGGAAGAGAGAAACTTACGTCCAGCCTTGCCCTTGGCTTCAAGATGCGCCTCTTTGCTATCCCACCCAAGTAACAACGTCACCGCAGGCCCCTTCTCGCCCTCAGCCCCGAACGCAAGCGGCGTCGACACCTCGCCGTACGCGTGTCCGTGGAACCCCGCGATCGGAGCCGCCGACAGTCCTCCCGCGAACTCGGCCGTCTTGCCAATGAAGTCGGGCTCGACGCCGTAGGCGACGAAGACCTCGGTGCAGGGCGCGCGCAGGGCCTTCTCCTGCTCGTCCGGGACTAGAGGGGCTTTGTAGAAGACTGGCGCGGGGTCCGTTGCAGCGATGGCTTTGAGGGAGGCGAACCAGGGCGTGTAGGACTCCGAGGAGGCGAAGGCGGAGAAGGCTTCCGGGGAGGCCCAGTTGATCACGAGGAGGTGCCGTGAGGGGTCCTCGAGCTGGGGGCCGGTGAAGAGGGAGGTCACGCCGGGGACGGATTTGAGGGAGGATGTGACGTCGGCCCAGGCTGCAGACGGGGAGGAGGAGGGGTGTTTGAAGGAGAGGAGGATGAATTCTGTGACTGTCATATTTGTCGTGAGTTTGAGGCTGGTGGTTTTGGTTACGAAGGTCTTTGGCGGTGAGGAGGTGAACGAAGGTGATTTGTATTGGGGGTTGAATGGCTATATCTTGACACGAAAGGAGGCTATCACGATACTCGGGCGCAGCTGCACCTTGCGATATTCAATTCTCACCATGTCTAGCAGGTTCTACGGGGTTTCGAGGCGATTCGACCACATCCGTCGATGTTGGGGCGGGTCACGTGGACGCTTTACTCCGCATCGATGGCGAAGCTTCTCGGTATGCGACTGGCTCGCGGTGTTTCACAGCCTCGCGCCACAACGCTTGTTGCGACGCTCAAGCTCCTTTCGTAGTTTTGGAGAAATCTCTTTGGGTGTTCTCCAAATGAGAGTCCGAAGGAGCGATCTGCCTCTACGATCGGCCCAGTGGAGAACATGAGAGTCACCTCCGCTCCGCGCCGCAGACCGGGATTGTCCTCCGGGCCGGTCGACCTCCGCCGGCGTACCGAGCGATTCGGGAGTAGGCGGCGCGCCATCTCTCTCAGCCCTGGGCCAAGGGTTTCATTTCCTCTGATGGCGGCGAAGAGGTGAGCACCAGCTTAATCGAGCGGTAAAACAAAAATACATGGCTTCGCGCTAGGGAAGATGAAGTACCGCGCGGTCATTCCAAGTTCCAACGGGGCGGGACGCTTAGCCTGGACTTTCCCTTGTTAGCCGCCACGAAACGTTTCTCGTCAAGAAGGCGACGCATAATAAGACCGAGAAAAAGCAAGATCACCTCAGACTATAGACCCTCGCGATGTGAGTGAAAAAAAATCCCATGAAGAGAGACGTGATGGTTTGGACGACAACCAGGAAAATAGGCTTAAAAGTACCGTGCTGGCGACAGCGCATCCCATCCTAGCCCGTTTGCTTCTTTCGGGTGCCGGAAAGTGGCTTAGGGCTGGGTCGCATTTTCAATATTTGCTTCTTGTGCATGCGATGGGTGATGCGGGCTGCAGCAGCTGCTGACATGATTGCCGGATTCGTTGGTGTAAATGCGCGAGGCGGCACCTACACACGTATGACCTTGTCGCAACGTTGCGCAATATTGGCATCGTGGCACCGTAAGCGACGACCAAGGTTTCCCCCACGAAGGTAGGCTGGCGCATTCGCAGAAAAGGTTGGGGAGCGATGTATGGCCTCGTGACACAAGATCTCGCGGTGTAGATGCATTGCTGTGCCGCTTGACCGCAGAATGCCGGGAGAAGTTGTCTAGCTCGGCCGTATACGGATAAAGGCGACGCTGACTGCGTTGTAAGAGTCACATAGAGAGAACCAACCCGCCAACCTTTGGCAAGCATGGAAGGGAAGGCCCGAACAAAACGGCATGTCGGGGTTAGGGTTTCTTGCGAATGGCCTCAGCAGAGACTGCTGAGGCCCACCATGACCGAAGCTATTCTTGTCGCCATGCGTTTGGTTTTGCGCTAAAGCCGTTATTGGCTCATGACGTCTTCCGGGCGATCAAGGGGCTTTTGACTTCAGCTTACCCCGTCGTTAATGCCTTCATACGCGGGGACCCACGACTTGCGAGTCGTTTTCATCAAAGAACCGCGAGATTCGCTATCTCGGGTCGTGGATTGTGGGCAATAGAGTTTGGTGTTGAAACTCTGACAGGGAACACTGGCAAAGGGGACCTTGACGACGGATGACCCGAGAAGGCGGACGAGTAGGGTGTGTGGCGGTGGAGGCACAGAAGCCACTGCGATTAATCGGATCAAGGGCTGCGTCAAGAGGCGGAAGAGCACGTCATGGCGATGGCTGATGTCCGTAGTTGAGATATCAGATGAATGGGCGATGAAGGAAGCGAGGGCGAAGGTTGCCGATGTTGAACTTGGCCGAGTGCGGCTTCTGCCCGAGGCCCTGCATGATGCGAAGTGTGCGCCTGGAGAGGCGGGTATTGGGGCTTGCTGGGGCGTAAAGCTGGCGGCCCCCAGAGTGTCTCGAGGCCCACGATGACCTCCCGCATGGTGGACATGGATGGTAGAGTCATTGACTGAAGGATATTTCGGGGTGGCGCAAGCAGGGGAGCAAGACAAGTGCCAGCGACAGGCTGCAAGCCCTGAGAACGCGGCTGGTGTGGAAATCCGAATTTCATATGGTAGTAGTAATCGGGGTTGTTACATGAGGGTTGACGATGAGGTGATGATGGGGTATCATGGCCCATGAGAGTGCCAGGCCGGAGAAAAAAAACCTTTCATATTTGATGAATTAATGACCGGTCAATGTCACATCTGCCTTCGCTTGACAACTAGTGCCGTGTATTATGGTTGACAGAGGGGTTCTCGAAGGGCCGAAGATAAAAGATCCTTTTCTGCATTTGCATGTCGAATCGGCGTCCCCTGCTGGTGGTTTAGCTTTCGGTGTTCAGCGGCCGCCTGGCTGCCAGCCCGACAGCAATCGAAAGGCTGCCCATTGAGGGCGCTCGCTGCGTAGAGGGCAGCAGGACTTGGGCTGCGGCGTAGTAAATTAAGTGAGTCGCTTTGACGCATGGCCGGTGTTAGTCCGTCTGACAGTGCGGTGAATGGTTGGAAAAGATGGGCGAGAACGGAGAGAACTGGACCATGGCATTGGCGGCTGCGGCTGGTGCCAAGTTAGCGGTCCCATGAACGGTTTGCCTGTTCCTTGCAGTGGTCGAATCGCTAAAAGCGCAGTGTGGTGCGTGCCAGCAGGTACGTACACTTGTACCGCGCGACCGTCTCCATTTGCCTTGGATTTTGCAGCAAATTAGCGACGTCTATTTCCAGATCCACGTTAAGGTAATTACTTAGCTTAAACGCTCGATGCTCAATGGGACATAACAGACGTCACATCATCTCGACCCCGTGTGGACTCATCCGAGGGCAAGACACCAAACAGCAGCCGCCCATTGCATGCTGGCAGCTGCTGCGTCCATGAGGGATCGGGGAAATTCCCGGCAGGGGCAAAAAAGAGATGCCAGTGGAGTTCTGAAGGATGACAAGTGAGCATGGAAGAGGGAACTGCTGGCCGAAGTCCGTCTTGTCGACATTGTTTGTCCCGTCCACCGTCCACGTCCATCCATGTCCACCGTCCACGGCTCGTGGGCCGCAAATGTCAGTGCTCCCCCCCCTTGGGACTTTCGGTTACCAAAGTACGGGGAACGGAGACCATGTACGTCTGGGCGATGTTATTTTCCCTTTGAAATTCGCGGTACGGATATGCGTGGTGTCTCTCCAAAGCACTCGGGCTCAGCTCAGCGCCTGTGTGCCTGTGCCTGGCAAGCACGCCATCTGCGAAACTTGGCTCTCGATGGCGGCCTGGGCTGGGCCTTATTTTGGCCTCGCAGTCACTTTCGAGTTGCCATTGCGGCATTGCCAAGGTTGGCCGTTTGCTGGCAGGGCTAGGGACCCGATGGGCGGGTTTCCGTCCTTACCCGGATGCTAGAGCAAACGACCAAGCCAATTTGAGGCCTCGCGAGAGGATCGCAGGAGGGGCATCGAGAGATGAACGCAGCGGCGCAACGTCGCAAGCCAATGGAACCCATGGATAATAGTCCGCAGTCACAGTGCCGTGCTGTTGCCTGGGGGCATCGCGCCAGCTCGGAGGGAAAAAGGAGATCGTGACCCGCTGGGCAGTGGGTTTTTGCTTCGGAGGAGACTGGATGCCGCCATGGATGACGGGACCGACAGTGGACTGGCGGACTGGAGGGGAGGGGAGGAGTGAGGAGCGAGAGCGACAGGCAGAGGAGAAGACGGACTACGAAGTACACCTAAAGGACACACCCCTGAATCGGGAAAGAAGGGGATGCATGCTGAATTCGCGCTGATGTTGTGATTGGCTGGCGCGACGGTCCTCAGGGTGGGAAGCGGAAAGCGCGTTGGCTCAGCCCTGTTCGGTTAGGGTGGTGTTGCTGCACCTGGGCTGCACTTGCACCTGCACCAACCTAACCTGTCAAGAGCAACTTTGCCATTCAGGGTAAGGAGACACTCCCGTCCTCCACGAGCGAGTTGTGCTGGCCCAGAACAGCGGACTCCACGCGCGCTTCACATAGTGCTCACTTGCTGTCCTCGTTAGGGTACTTTGCAGGTAAGGTAATAGGCTAAGGCTTGCAGACGCGCGAGGTACCTGCGCCAGGGAAATTTCCCACGACCCCACACCCCCTGCTCCGTGCCGCAACGGCCCAATCACACTAGCCCAATCTCGTCTTTAATTTGCAGACCCATGCTTGCTCTGTCGGCGGCGCAGTCAACAACTGCAACGAGGCATGCAGACCTCGACAGGAGCATTGCGCCCAACTGTGGTGGTGAAAGACCAGGACCAAGTGATGTGTGATGCACCGCGGCCTCGCTGTAGGGTTGTGTTGGTAGTTGCTCACCTCCAGCCCTTGCTCCCTTCCCGAGTTTTCACAAGCACCAACTACCAAGCCAGAACACTGTGATTTCTTGTCAATCCCGGCCTAGCCTAATTGGGTCAGGGATGCCTCGAGGCCACCCCCCCTTCTCCTTCTCACTTCTCACCCAGAACCATGATCCCATTGCCCAATGCCCATGCCCATGGGTGATGATGGATGGATCAAGCGCACCTGGGACCATGGATGGACCACCAAGTTCTGGGACCTTGCACCACCTCACCCCCTTGCCGCGCGCCCGGCCCCGTGAGCCTAGCAGCAGCAGCCTGGGAGCCTAGCCCGGGGGAGGGCACCACCCACCTCACCTCCCACTCCCACTCCACTCCATGCGCTTACGGTACCTTACCAGCACCACCTCGCCAGGCTACACCTCCTCTTCTTTTCAATCCCTCCGCTTCGTCTGATCTTCTTCTCTTTCCTCCTTCCTTCCCTACCACAGCCCAGTCAAACTCACAACCCCCGTGTGCGTCTCGTCCTCTGGCTTCAGCCTGCCGCTCTTTTTATATACAGTCACTCATTACCCACCGTCGCAAGACACTTACTCTCCCTTAAAACCTTACTCGCTTTTTCTAGTCACTCGTTCGACTCGTTACCGTCTTCT